CCAAAGATGATGGTGAAGAGAAACAACAGGACAGTAAAACATCAGGATTACTGTGCAGTCTGTCCACAGTTGAGGAGAGATGGAAGAATCTAGGAGGATGGTCTTTAAGAAAGCTAGGAGTTATGGGTGCTTGGGTGGCTCAGATAGTTAAGTGTCTGCCTTTGGCTCAGGTCACGATCCAGGGTCCTGGGATTGGTCCCTGCATCAGGCTCTGGGCTCAGTCAGGAGTCTGGTTCTCCCTCTCCCTCTGCTGCTCCTCCTGTTTGTGGTCTCTCTTAAATAAGTAAAATCTTAAGGAAGAAAACTATGAGTTACTATGAAGAAAAGGACTTTTATAACTTGGACAGTGGTTAAGGATAAACTATCGTTAGTAATATAGCAAACTATGCAATGAGATGAGACATTCATTAACTCCAGAATAAACAATCTGTTGTCTAAGAAGGGTACTGTAATTATAGTACACCAAACGGTCTCCCTGTAACATAGTCATAAAAGCAGAAATTCTGAATATTCATTCAACCAAAGGTCATAATTACATTTTGATTCAATAAATGGTGCTGAAACCATTTCATATCCATGTGCAAAAGAAAATGAAGTTCAACGCTTACCTCATGCCATATAACCAGAAACAGAACACTGACCTAAGTGTAAGAGTTGAGAAATAAAATTTCTGGCAGAAAACAAAGGAGAAAAATTTTGTGATCTTGGATCAGAAAAGACATTAATAGCTGGGATAAAAATACATAAAACCTATATTCAATTATAGACTTTTATCCAGAAGATTTAGGAAAAAATCTGTAGAACATTTATCTGGTAAGAGAACTGTAAGCAGAATATGTAAGTCCTACAACTTTTTATTGGGAAATCAACCCAATGAAGTAGACAGAAGTTTTGAATAGGGGTGCCTGGGTGGCTCAGTCCCTTAAGTGTCTGCCCTCAGCTCTGGTGCAGATCCTAGTGCCCTGGGATCAAGCCTCAAACCCCATCAGGCTCCCAGCAGGGAGCCTGCTTCTTCCTCTTCCACTCCCCCTTTCTTCTGAATTTAGGTGCTATCAAATAAAAAAAATAAAAAAAAAAAAAAAAAAGTTTCGAATGGGCACTTCACCAAAGATATACAAATGGCAAATAAGTATACAAAAAGTTCAGCATCATTAGTCATCAGGGGAAATGCAAATTAAGACCACACTGAGGGGTGCCTAGATGGCAGTCAGTTAAGTGGCTGACGCTTGGTTATGCTTGGTTCTAGCTGAGGTCCTTGTCTCTGCGTCATGAGATCGAGACCAGGAGTCCTGTGTCAGGTTCTTGACTCAACGCAGTCTGCTTAGAGTTTCTCCCTCCCTATTCCTCTACCCCACCTCCCCCTCTCTAAAATAAATAAATAAATCGGGGTCCCTGGGTGGCTCAGTAGGTTAGGCATCTGCCTTCAGCTGAGGTCATGACCTCAGCGTCCTGTGATTGAGTCTGACCTGCTTCTTCCTCTGCCTGCTGCTCCCCCTGCTTGGGCTCTCTCTCTCTCTGACAAATACAGTCTTTGAACAATCAACCTTTTTTTTTTTTTTTTTTAAGACCACACTGAAATAGCACTACGTATACCTACTAGAATGGCTGAAATTTAAAAGATTGGGGCAAGAAGCAACTGGAACTTTTGTACACTAACTGGTAAGAATGCAAAATAATATAGCCATTTTTTAAAAATAGTTTGGCAGTTTCAGTTAAATTTATATGTGCACAAAAGACAAAACAATACTGTATGTATTTGCAAGATGCTGAGAGAACAGATCTTAATACTTCTCATCACAAGAAAAAATGCTTGGAATTATGTGCAGTGATGGGTGTTGACAAAACTGATTGTGCTGATCATTTCACAATATACACAAATATCAAATCATTGTGTTATATGGGTAGCTAAAGCTAATACAATTTTATATAGGGCAATTTAGTCTAAAAAAAAAAAAAACAGTTGAGCACACACACTAATATACCCCACCCCTACTCTCAGAGATGGGGCAGGAGGAATGATAAGAATTAGACCTTTGACTCTTTCCTTTTCTTTCTCCCGGCCATTTTGGCGGCTGCTCTTGGTTGGGGCTGTCCCGCACCTAAGGCAGGAAGATGGTGGCCGCAAAGAAGACAAAAAAGTCGCTGGAGTCGATCAACTCCAGGCTCCAGCTCGTTATGAAAAGTGGAAAATATGTGCTGGGGTACAAGGAGACTCTGAAAATGATCAGACATGGCAAAGCGAAGCTGGTCATCCTCGCCAACAACTGCCCGGCCTTAAGAAAATCTGAAATAGAATACTATGCCATGTTGGCCAAAACTGGTGTCCCTCACCACAGTGGCAATAATATTGAATTGGGCACAGCATGTGGGAAATACTACAGAGTATGCACGCTGGCTATCATTGATCCAGGTGATTCTGATATCATTAGAAGCATGCCAGAACAGACTGGTGAAAAGTAAATCACGCAGAATTTTTCTTTAATAAAACTGGCCACAGCTTATTTTAAAAACAAAAACAAAACAAAACAAAAAAAAAGAATTAGACCTTTGAAAAACAAGGAAAAATCACAATATTCAAGGTACATTAAAGTGTATTTCAAGTCTATTGTAGTTTTTAATTGGTGATTATGCTCTGAAGAAAAGAATCTCTCTTCTCTGCAAAGCAATAAAAACATGCTGGATAAACTTTTATTTGGGAAATAGTAAGAAAGATTCATGTATGTTCAGTTATTTCACAAGTGACCTTGAAACTTAGTTCAAACTCTTGGATCCAGTGGTTACAGACTCAAGGACCATGTAGAAAGAGGGGACTCAAAACCCTGGAAATCTCAGAGGAGAAATGAATTTCTGGCACACTACTTTCCAGAATTTTGAGCCAAAATTTTTAGCAAGCAGACCTTGCTTGCTTTAGAGCATGGAGAAAAGGCATTTATGGGTGAAAAAATAATTTAGGGGCACCTGGCTGGCTCTGTTGGTAGAGCAGATGGGTCCTCATCTCACGGATGTGAATTTGAGCCCCACATTGGGTGCAGAGATTACTTAAATCAACTTGAAAAAATAACTTACTACGACTGAAAATAACAAACCACAACCACACAAAGCAATCTGATTCTTATGGAGACAATCTTGAGCAAACTACATGCTAACTAGCTGATGGCTAGATTGGTGTGTGCTTGTGACAATTTACTGAGCTGTATAGATGATTTGTGCATTCTTCTGTATGTAAGCTATATTCAACTTTTTTACAGTATCCCATATGATTCTATTTGTTAAGCTCCCCGCAAAAGGCAAAACTGAACTACTGTTCCATAGTACATACAAACGTAGTAAAAATATTAAAAGCCAGTCAATTACTTAATGTTCGGAATGCAGTAAAGGGTTTAAGATCAGGAATGGGTGAGATTAGGGGCTCCTATCAGGGGATCTTAACTGACTTAATGTCAGTAAGTTCTATTTCTTGGCCTGAATGGTGCTTACATAAGCACTTGCTTTAGAACTCTGTTAAACTCTAAGTTTTATGCACTTAGAAAACAAATTAAGTAGATTCAACCCAATCTAAATGTCTGCTAATAGAGGACTACTTAAATTAATTATAATACAGTCATGGAATGTATTCTGTACCATTAAAAATGAGACAACCGGGGGTGCCTGGGTGGCTCAGTCAGTTAACCATCTGCCTTTGGCTCAGGTCACCATCTTCAGGTCCTGGAGTCAAGCCCCACATTGGGCTCTCCACTCAGTGGGGAGTCTGCTTCTGCTTCTCCCTCTCCCTCTGCCCTCCCTCCCCTGCTTGTGTGGTCTCTCTCTCAAATAAAATCTTTAAAACAAAAATGAGCCAATTATATGCTTATAAGGTCCTATATGCTTATAAGGACCCGAAGCCCAGATGTGTCCTAAAATGACAAAAGCCATGCTAGAAATGAATCTCATATAGTACTACACACACACACACACACACACACACACACATCTATATACACACACGAAGAATACCTCTATCTCTAGAAGAATAGACAAGAAATGAGTCAATATTGCCTTGAGGAGGAGACCAGCAACCAAATTTTGTATTATGTGCATTTGTTATCTTTTAAATAGAAAGAAAATAATTAATTTTGGAAAATATTTGTTTATTGCACAGTTCTTTCCAGATTTTATGTCTAGGGTCATCTTTTATTGTCAAGTACTTTAGCAAAGAACTGGCATTTAAACATGGCTGACCAACCATGGCCACATTCATTACGCAAGGACTTTTCTGAGCTAACATTTTTCAAGCTCCTTTAGGAACTTGCCACTGACTTAGCCACTATAAAAACAAAGTTAAATGGGACAAGAGTCTAAGCCTTCATGGAAGGGGAAGGCCATGAAGGAAAGTGAGAAGGAAAAGCAGGAAGCCATTTGGCACGATGGGATTTTTCTCCTGCAGCCATTTAGTCTTGTCTTTGTCTTAGATGGGATCAGGTCATATTCCTTGTCCTCACAAGTCTTAGAAATCAACCAGAAAGTGCAGAGTTCACGAATCAACCCCACAGGTTTAATACTAGGCAATGCTTATTAAACCCCTCTGTGGTGGAATCTTCATCTTTCTACACCTCTGAAGCTCTCTTACCCTTTATCCCTGTTGCTTCAGCTTCAGCTTCCCAGAGGGCAGAGGTGAGATCCTAGGTAGGTGGGCTCTTCTCATCTCTGCTGTTTGACAGGATTCAAGGACAATGTAACAGATAATGCAGTGGAGATGCTAAGACCCCCCAAATAACGAGGGGGGAGAAAAAGCAGAGGACATTTCTCACCACAGACCAGACAAGTTTCCATTCCTCGCTAAGGATGAGAGGATTGGAATAGAGGAAGACCCAAAGCACTTGTGTGAGGAAGACTTGCCTTCTGCTTGTTGCCATGGTTCTGATTTACCTGTGGTTATGTTCTGAAAGCTCTTGCCCAAAGAAATTTTTTCAGCCATTTCTTAAAACAGTTTTTTTGAATGGTTATAAAAAACCTGGGTAACCTTTTTTTTTCTTCCAGTTTTATTGATATAATTAACATATAACATTGTATAAGTTTAAGATGTAAAACATAATGACCCGATATATGTATTTGCTGCCAAATTTTTTACCACAATAAGTTAATATCCATTGCTTCACATAATTACACATTTTTTCCCTGTTGTAGGAACATTTAAGATCTACTCTCAGCAACTTCCCAACATGCAATACAATACTGCTAACCAGAGTCATCATGTTGTACATTACAGCTTCCAAAATTACATAAATGTACATTTATCTTAAAACTGGAAGTTTCGTTATCTTTTGATTGCCTTCACCCAATTCCCCACCATGACTCCCGCCCTCCCCCAACAACCTCTGGCAACCCCAATCTGATCTGTTTTTATGAGTCTGGGTTTTTTTAGATTCCACATGTAAATGAGTTCACAGTATTTGTCTTTTTCTGTCTGACTTATTTCACTTAACATAATGCCCTCAAGGTCCATCCATGTTGTCACAAATGGTAGGATTTCCTCACTTTTGTGAGGCTGAGTAATAGAGTCCACTGTATATGTGTGTATATATATATAAATATACACCACACACCGTATTTTCTTTATCCATTCCTCTGCTGATGGACACTTAGGCAGTTTCCATACTTTGGCTATTGTGAATGCTGCTGCAATGACCACGGGAGTGCAGGTAGTTCTACTTTGAGTTTTCTAAGGAACCTTCCATACTGTTTTCCAGAGAGTATGCACTAAATTGTAGTCCTGCTAATAGTGTACAGGTTTTCAGTTTGGATCATCTTAAAGGACAGAGGTTTAGAAGCATCTCATTGCTGTAATGATCCAAACCCACGCCCCTCATGTCTTCATCAAAATCCCATTTGCTGCTCTTGCCTGTCAGTGAGTATTGGTGGTGGGGATGGGAGGCGTAGGCAAGGAGAAAGGGGTCTTCCTGAGGTGAGTGGCATGTGGAGGAAGGGCAGCAGCTGTTAAAATCCACATGCAGCCTCTCTTCATAAAGCTCACCCCCTGGATTAGGCCATAGTGGGTGACAGCTACTTTCGGCCGCAGGCGGTTCCACTGGAATCTGCTGGGGAAAGGGTTCTGCAGAGCTCTGGGAAGGGGAGAAGTCATAAGGCCAGCTGGTCAGAGGGAAAGGGTAACTGGGACAACAGTTGTCATTAAGAGACTGTCTCCCCAAGGCAGTATTTATATTCCATGTTTGCCGATCACCGTAGTCAGAGAAGACTCCGGAAACAGGATGAAGCAGGTCCCCACCATTACAGATCCAACTACTGGACAGTTTGCATTTGTCATAGAGCTTAGTGGGGACCAAGGTGGAGGTGGGGTCTGCCAGGTCAGTGGTTCCCCCCAAGCAACAGCTCTTGGAGAAGAACAAGCAATCATTCAGAGACTTCTGCTGGGGAGTGTTAGCTATTAAACGTCCATTGTAACTACTGGGCAACTGGACGCCCTCCTGGAAAGACCAAGTTAAAGGAAAACTTCCCCAACTTTGGGTTTCACCTGGAAGAGACTAGAAAGGAAAGCGAAAAGCTCACATTAATAAGTTAAGCAAATTGACACGACTACCACAGGCACCCAGAGTTACTCTGTACAAATAAGTGCTCTGTCCGACTTTCCTCATTCCTCACATACTTGAAGCGCAAACACACAGTGGGGTTTCACCACAAGCACTTAAAGTCTGAAAGAAGTCAAGGTTGCCTCCAGGTCCACTGTACAGCCTACTCACCAGCACAAGCTGTGTTACTCTCACTCCTCTGACTCTGAGCAGAGTGAGTGTGTTGAAAATGGTTCATCCTCAAACACAAATCTGATACAGTAACTGTCTTTGTGAGAAACTTGTAAGAGACTATTTAAGAAAAATCAAACTACAGCTTCAAAGATTTATATTATACTCAGTATAACTCTCAGGAGTTCTCTGTCTTGCTTGCTCACCCAGTGTCTCTCTCTCTCTCTCTCTCTCTCACACACACACACACACACACACACACACACACACACACGTCATTGCCTTCCTTGACTTTTCTATTTTTTAGTACTGTTTGCAGTCTGAGAGACTAGGGTTGTTCTGTTGCTTTTCTTCTCAAGAGCCTTTTCTCCAAGGTCATGGGGATTTTGTTGACCCATAAATAGGGCCTCTAGAAAAATGAAGTAGCAAATTTATTTCTATAAATAAAGGAAGCATACGTACTACTTTGCAATTCATCTCAGGGAAAAAAAACTGGCTGAGAGTTAAGTGATCTGCTTGCTTATGTAACAAGAGGGTGGAGATAGAGAGACTGTGACCAGGTAGAGTGGGAGGAAATGCCCTTCAACTTGTCCCATGGCTGGGAGAAGGGGTGAGGAACCTGCCATTCGGTTTCAGGGGCTCACGTGTCCCTATAACCGACCCAAGTGACATTTTCTTTTACTACGTAAGGCATACTTAAAACCTCTAGGGATGCACGGGCTCCATCTCGGTCCTCATGAAAAGAAATGTGAAGCACGGAGCAGCAGTAAAATACACGAATTAGCATCACTATCAAGCAGACAAACCCACCAACCTATAATATGATGCCCATAAAGCCAGAGAGTTCACATCACAGTGTGGCCTCTCCACCCCCAACCCCACAGGTGGCCAATGTTTTCAGAAACTTCCTGGTTATTTCCTCTGGGTCGAGTCTGCTAATCTATTTAGGGGAAGAATGACCATTTTGGAATGGTATTTTGCTGAGACCACTTTAGGTTCACTTCTGAACCAAAATATAAAGTGCCAAATAGAGGTTAAGTACTAATCCAAGTCTCTCCTTGTAATTGTAGCAGGGAAGATGTTTCTAAAATTACATAAAGTTTAAGAGTATTTGAGAGCATGCTACAAGATGGCAGAAATTAAGAGGAAAACCCCAGATTCTATTTCTTTTCTCTGGGGGATGCTGCCCTATAGACGAGCCAGATGGGATGGTTTCGACCTCATTTGTCAGTGAGGAGGGACTGGAGAAGGGTATTGTCCTCACCACGGGCGTGGGGAGTTGCCATATGTTTTGAACACACGGGGGACAGGTTACCTTTGTCTCTGGGCTCTCCTTCAGCTTTAAGGGGACAGAGGCAGATGCCACGTGTGCTTTTTTCATTGTTCTTCTTGCCTCGGCTTCCAATTTGGTTTCTGGTTTTGGATGATCATGCTCTCCCTTTGACTTACAAGAGACAAGGAGGTAAAATAAACAGCAAGATTGGACCTCACGGTGTATAGAATGTTACCCTGTGCCCTGCCGCCTGACTGGGTGCTGCTGCAGGCCCAAGACTTCATAAACCTCTTCGGCCTGTCACACGCTTTCCTGCCCACCTTTGAACACGGTGCCCCTTGCCCACCTGGTGAAGTCACACTTGCAACCATAACAAGCGACACTACAAAGTGCTTCCTGGTGTGCAGAGGAGGCTGCAACACACACCTCACTGACTCTTCAGCATCAGTCCTGCCACCATTATCACTGCCCCAGCTTACAGAGTAGGAAACTGAAGCATGGGGACACTCCACCAGCTATGGAGGAGACACTCCTCCCCGTCCCCCCATGAGTGAGCGGGGAGCTGGGATTCAAAGCATGCTGGAGCTGCCCAAGCTGAGAGCCAGCTATAGAATGCTCGGGAATTCTGGGAGCTGGCTGGCAGCTGAAGATGAGCCACAATGGGAACCCCTGTGATCACAGATGCTGGCCCACGCTAGCCATTGGGACATTTTCTTTTTGGAGGGTTGGTTGACCAGCACACCAAGGACCTTCTGCCATCAGAAGCCAGACTTTATCCTGTTTTTAGCATCGCCCCCTCAAGGACTCCTGCACACCCACATTTTGGGTTTGTTGAAGCCAACCACAGGCCACAGCACTGTGCTAGCCTGAGCGTAATGAGATTACTGCAGGGTGCCTCCCCGCCAGGGGCCGGAGGTGGAATCAGCCAGCTCCCCTCCTGGGGCTCCGGGTCTTGGCGTCTGTGTGCAGGTGTGGGTACAGACATCTGCTTGCCCAGAGCATGCCTCGGGGTTGCTACAGGCTTGCATTCCCCTGCCCATCTCCTGTACGCAACCTCCCCCTGTGCTCTGCACACACTTCCCGAATTAAAGAGAAAACGGCATCTCCTAACTGTAAGTCAAATCCAACCTGGAAGAATATGAAGCGTCCGTCGTGCCTCCAGAAGTTGGTGACCGGGAAGCCCCCATGGCCTCGGCAAGGAATGAGCTTCAGAGGCCCGTCGCAGTTTGGACAGCGTTTCCCTGTAAGAGAGCACAAGCAGGTGACCCTGCCACCTGAGTCCTGAGTCTGTGCGGCCCCCGCAGTCGGCGCTTGACGCTGGGATGGTGGAGAATGGGCCTGGGTGCAGTGTTCCGGGCTCCCTTCCACTGGGCATTACCTCTGACCCCCGGAGGCCTGGCCATCAAAGCCTCCCAGACCAGTCTCACACAGGGACAGAGGAAGCAGTTTCCTACAGACTGGGATATCTCACAGGTCAAGGGAGAGCTCTTCTGAGCAGAAATTCCCTCCCTCCGTATTTACTGAGACCTGAAATTCTTTGTAGAGAAGAGAACAGAAATCCTTCACTTCCCAGTGAGAATTAAAGGGTCAAGGAGCAAAGTCACAGAAAAGAAGAAGCACAGCCCCTAAATGTTCATTAAAGTGTAAATGACTGAGACGAGACCCTTTCCGGAGAGCCAGTTTTCAAGACAGCTTACAAAGAAAGAACACGAAGTAACTTGAAGTCCGAAGCGGGCAGGGCACAGGGGAATGCTGGATGCATCTCTTTCATAATCAGATGGACATGATAAAGAGGACCACAACGAACCGGACTACGGCGTGGACCTAAATGGCGTGGACTCGAGCCAAATCTCCAACTTCGTCCCATTGCTCCCACTCCAGACCAAAGCATTCACTGAGCTCCTGGGTGAGGGCGGGGTGGGGGCGATGGGGACCCATTCCCCAAGATGTCACGTGGTCAAGTGTGATCAACAACGTTCTCCTAGACTTTATGTGGGTCCCCTGATGAACTAGTATGAGTCCCCTAAGTGGTACCTCCGCTTTTGAACAGAAACCTTGAGTCAGGGGCCTTAACCCAAGGGAGCGGTTTTGTTGGCAGGTACTCTGGGCACGGGGAGAACCATAGGGCAGACCCTGAGGGGTGAGGAGGCTGCTGGACGCCAGCTTCCTCACTGTGCCCCCAACGCTACTCACTCTGCTGCTTCTGCCGGGCTTTGTCGCAGATGGCGGGTCGCAGGTAGATCTTGCGGCCCTCCTCTGCAGAGCAGTCACGGCTGCACACCACCACGCCCAGGCAGGACTTCTTGAGGATGCGGGAGTTGTGGTTGTTGGTGTTGCGCATGGCCCAGCTGCTCAGGTGCCGCTGCGCATTCCTGTCCTCTGAGCTGTAGATGTGCTTCTCGTAGGAATCGGGCCATTCCTGGAACCAGTCGGTCTTTTTCACATTCTGGTACAGACACAAAGCATACTGCTGTATTTTAAGCGAGACAACACAACTGTGTAGGGTGCCTGCACGGCTCCGTGGGTTAAGCGTCTGCCTCCGGCTCAGGTCATGACCACAGGGTCCTGGGACAGAGCCCTGCGTTGGGCTCCCTGCTCAGCGCGAAGTCTGCTTCTCCTTCTGCCCCACCCCATCTCGTGCTCTCTCTCTCTCAAATAAATAAGTAAAATCTTAAAAAACACACACACACAACTGTTCTTAGATGTGAAGGTGGTTTTGGCCTCCAAGAGCTGTGGAGACCTTTGGCAAAGACCAACCAGCGTTTCCCTCCCGACAGCAGGATCTGAGCTCGGTGTAGTGACACCAATAGACCTGTCGGGTCTACTGAATGTTTGCTCCCTGGATCAAGCTGGGCTGTCATTCAGTACCCCCCACCTCCCCTGAGTTCTACTCCATGATGATTCTCTAGGCCTTGGAGAGAAGACTTATTGACCATCTCCCACGAAGAATTTTTGAGGTGCAGTAATGTGATTGTGCTCTTACACAATCACACTGGAAAACACTGTGGCAGGGTAGTGAGATAATGTCTCATAACACATTAGTTACCTTATTGGGAAGGTGAGGAGTTTATGCAGTCACCAGAGCTGAACAGTGGGAAAACTAGAGAACTTGGGTTTGGGAGGGTTCTGATAGCCACTTTCTCCCCTGGGGAGAACTTCTTCCTTTTTCTCTACTTCTAGATCCATGGGCCTCCAACAAGGAGGGGGAGTTTACTTTGGCTGCAAAGTTCTACGTTCTTGCCTAGCACTAGCACTAGCACTATTTACCCTGCGTGAACATCTAAGCTCTCCTTAAGAAAGAGCATCAGTACACTCAATCCTTAGGGCATTTGTCATTGGGCTTCTTGCACTTCTGTTTCTTTATCTGTAGAATACGGATAACGAGACCTGCCAACCTTAAGTATGGTTCTGAGAATATGATAATATATAAAAAATACTTAGCACAGCACCTAGTATGGAATAAGCTCTCAATAAATGTTAGTCACTGATGTTGAGGCTCCCATTCCTCTGGCCCTTTGGCGCATAGATCCTGCATTTGACTGATCCTGCTTCATTCTCAGGAATGACAATCTTTGGGCATCTGGGTGGCTCAGTGGGTTAAGCCTCTGCCTTCGGCTCAGGTCATGATCTCAGGGACCTGAGATGGAGCTCTTCATCAGACTCTTTGCTCAATGGGGAGCCTGTTTCCCCCTCTCTGCCTGCCTCTCTGTCTACTTGTGATCTGTCAAATAAATAAACAAAATCTTAAAAAAAAAAGAATGACATTTGCTAAGCAGTCTCCATACTCAAACTTAGGCTGTGTCTATTCTCATACCCTCCAGAGACCTGGCATGACAGAAGAACATTTTTCATCAAGAAGATTCTAGAAGGTCAGAGAGAAGATTCTAGAAGGTCCAGAAGGAGAGGTCAGGGTGCCTTCCTTTTGATTCCCCGACAAGAAAGCAGGCATAGAATATTGCAGGGGGCGGGCATTTTAGAAGGAAAAGAGAAAATATCAACAACAGGATGGAAGGGCAGCATGGGGAAGTTGGTGTATATTGAGTTAGATTTCAAGTTTAAAACATGCCAAAGAGCTTTGTAACCTGAGACTCTGGGCAAGTGACTATCTCTGAAGCCTCATTTTGCTCTTCTCCAAAATGGACATAGTGATAAAATATTCTTTAAAGAAGTACCACCAAGAGCAGATGTGTTGTAAACTTTAAGTTTGATATAATGATAGTTGCCATTTGAATGGCATGTTGTGGGAACTAAGGTGGATCTGAGGAAACATAAATGAGGTAGAGGTAGTGTTGGTACAGTTAAGAGCTGGGGTCTGGGGGCACCTGGGTGGCTCAGTCATTAAGCATCTGCCTTCAGCTCAGGTCATAATTCCAGGGTCCTGGGACTGAGCCCCACATCGGGATCCTTGCTTAGCCAAAGGCCGCCTCCTCCCTCTCCCACTCCTCCTGCTTGTGTTTTCTCTCTTGCTGTGTCTCTCTGTCAAATAAATAAGTAAAATCTTTAAAAAAAAAGAAGAAAGCTGGGGTCTGCAACATAGGGCTCATGGTTCAAATCCAGACCATTGCTTTTTTTTTTGTAAATAAAGTTTTATTAGAACACAGCCAAGATCATTCACTTGAGTGTTGTCTATGCATACTTGACATTACTACAGCCAAGTCAAGTCATTATAGCAGAGACTGTAATGGCCCATAAAACTGAAAATACTGACTATATGGCCCTTTAGAGAAAGTCTCCTGACTTCTGGTTAAGAGCCCGGCCCCTGAAGTAGACGGCCTCAGTACAAAGTCTTAACCAAGTTCCTTGCCCTCTGGGTGCCTTCACTTCCTGCTCTCCTGCTCTAGAAAATGGAGGTGACAGGAGTACCCACCTCACAGGGATGTTATGAAGACTGAATGAGTTAACACACATAAAACATCTGAAGCCGTGCCTGGAGGACCAGATCCAGGAGTACAAGCAGCCAATGTGGTTTTAAGAGCCAACGGCTTTCAGGAGGGAGAAGACCCACAGAGAGGGCACTTCGTGCTTTAAACCTTGTCAAGCCAAACCCAAGATGGAGTCCAAGCCCCTCAAAAGCAAAGACTTTACTGGAATAACTGACTCCACAGCCTTCTTTCTCAGAGTAATGGCTCAGGGGAACCCTTCATGTGCCTCACTGTAACTGCTGTGAGGTGAGAAGGGAAATGGAGGAGGGCGTGTGGCATCTGCAAAAGGCCCCTGAGGTCCATCAGGCAGCTAGAGCAGAGCTTCCGGGAAACAGACACGGCCAGGCCAAGATGCTGAGTGGACCATCTGCTTTTTCCAGCTCTTTCCCTCCCTCTCCCAATTCTCTGGGAATTCCGAGCTGGGTAAGATTCATGTCAGGCAGCAAGCCCCCTTCCTGCTTCCTCCACACACCTTGTCTTCTCTTCTCTGCCTTCTGACCTAAGGCTCTAAGTAATGCCTTCTTAATTTCTGTAATCACAGAAACGCCCCAAGAAGCAGAATATTTTATCTTCTGAAATAAGAAAAATGTGGGTTCAAACACTAACATGTGGACCTTTAACAATTTGGGCTGTAAAAATTGATTGGAGGCATTTGAATAATTCAGACACAAAGCACAGTTGTCAGGGTAGCAGAGACAAGGGCCACGCAGACTTGAAGAAAAGCGGAGATTTTCATTTTCAAGGTGAGTAGCCCCTGCAGGCTGGTCAGTGCCATTAATCCCAGGAACCACGAGGAGGGGAAGGTGTACGTGTGAGTGTCTCAGAGGTTCAGAGGAAGAAATGATCTCCATCGTCTTTCGTCCCCACAGTTTTCTCTCAGTTCAATGTGTACTTTGATCTCCCTTTGAAGCTTCCTCTTTGACTTACGGATGACTTACAAATATACTGTTTATTTGCCATGTATGTGCAGATTTCCCCACTGCCCTTCGCTATTAATTTCTAGGCTGGTTCCACCGTCGTCGGGGAACATTGTATTTTAACTATTTTAACATTGTTGAGGTTTGTTTTAGGGCTTACAGTATTTTCTTTTTAAGAAATATTTTATTTATTTATTTCTTAAGTAGGCTCCACACCCAACGTGGGACTTGAACTCACAACCCTGAGATTAAGAGTCACATTCTCAAATCTAAGCCAGCCAGTTGCCTCAGTGATTATAGTATTTTCTACATTTGAAAATATCTGTCTTTTTATTTGTTTTTTTTGGGTTTTTATTAGTAGCCTCTATACCCAGTGTGGGGCTCGAACCCACGATCTCCAGATCAAGAGTCACATGTTCTTCTGATTAAGCCAGCCAGGTGCCGCTACATTTGACTATCTTTTAGGCCTCTTTTTTTTCTTCCCAGCAGCCTCTTCACTGGCAGCCTACATTTCCAGTTCCATCAGTAATGCAGTAATAATTCTGACAACGTATTAACTTGAGAAAATTCCTAGGAGTAAATGTGTTCATATCAAGCTCTTCTCTATGCCCAATCTTTTGATTTGGATGCTTAGTGGAATCTTTGACATCGTTTGACATTGAAATTAAGACAAAACCTAGATTCCCATAATGCAAAGGAACCCAGGTGTCAAATGAATGACAGTGATTTCTGAAAGCCTTGTAAATTCAAGGCACTAGAGAGGTAAAATTTAAAAAGAAAGAATAATCATTTCTTAATCTCGTTTAGCGGATCTCCATAAAATGTTTTCTTCTTTCCTGATCTTGTGTTTATTTTAATTTCTAACTTTTCATGAGTAACTTTGTTTTTCCTCTTGGTTAAGAAGTTTATAATTTAAAGGGAATATTATTCCTCAGGTTTCCAACAGGAAATCTAACGAATTTATATTTTATAATCTCAAGGGGTAACATCACTGGGGGTTTAACATTTCTATGACTTCTGTAATTTTTTTACTAAGAGACCTAATCCTCTAACTCACTCAAAATCTCTGCATCTCCATGGAATCCTAGAGCACCCAATCTTCCTTATTCTGCTTTACTTAACTACCTGAAGTTCTAATAGGGTCCCTTAAAAATTAAATATGTACTATTAAAACAAAACTAATAAAATGAAAATGAAAATTGTGAAATATGTCATCAAAACACCTACACTACCCTGTTATTATATTAAAATGGATTTCACCTAGCATATAATCCACTCTCATACAAAGCAATTATCTGCATTTTTCTTTAATGCTAAGAATAGCTTAATTCAGGGTGCCTGGGTGGCTCAGTGGGTTAAGCCTCTGCCTTTGGCTCAGGTCATGATCTCGGGGTCCTGGGATTGAGCCCCGCATTGGGCTCTCTGCTCCTTGGGGAGCCTGCTTTCCCCTCTCTCTCTGCCTGCCTCTCTGCCTACTTGTGATCTCTGTCAAATAAATAAAAACAAAATCTAAAAAAAAAAAAAAAGAATAGCTTCTTTATAAATAAATATTTCCAAATAAAACAGGGAGGGCATACAGATGTACCTTTAAGCAAATCAGATAGAGG